TGTGCGCTCCGGCGTTGGCTTTTGGCCCGCTGGCAATTATCTTGCTTGTCGCCTCAAGCTTGCTACGACCCGCTCTCTGGAATCGTCCTTGGAGCCGCAGATCAAAAAAAAGTAACCCCACCAGCTCTACGTGCCTCTGCGGCCAATTATCTCGCTCTGTGTCCCAGACGTGAAGACCGCTCTCTGGACGTCTCCTTGGAGCCGCGTACCAAAAGTAACCCCACCAGCGCAAATTAGCCTCGCCTGGGGCCCAGACGACGCCTTCCGCTCCCCCTGTCCGTTGCCTCGGAGCCGCTGACCAAAAAAAGTAACCCCACCAGCTCGCCTTAGGTTAATTCGTCGTTGCGTGCCCCGCGTTGACTGGACTCGCCGCCGGCGCGCTCGCCCGCGGCCGCTGACAAAAAAAGTAACCCCACCCAGAAACGATGCCCAGAGGAATTGCCTCGGTCAGGGAAGTGGGCAGCGCACATAGGAGGTGTCCCCCAGTGGAGGCCTCTTGGAGCGTGTTGGGTGCCTCGGAGGGCGTCTCTTGGGAACCTCTTGGAGGCCTGTCGGGCGCCTGTTGGGGCCTCCTGGGCGCCTCTTGGGGCCCTCCGCTCTTGCGCTCTTGGGGCCATCTAGGAGGACATCGATCAAACAAGCAGCGAGCATTAGCTAGCGTTGCCCCTCGGGAGCCCAAAACATCGCCTCTTAGGGGCACTCTTGGGGCGCTCTCGGAGCGTTTTTAGGCTCTCTTGGGGCCGTCTTGGGACTCTCTTGAGCCTCTCTTGGAGCCCTCTTGGGCCATATTGGAACCATTTTGAGGCCCCGGATCGCCATCGGAAACGAAAAGGCGAGAAAACCAAACACATAGATGCTGTTGAGGTTTTGGCCTCTTCGGGGCCTCCTGGGGGAGCCCTTTGGCCACTTGGAGCCGTCTTGGAGCGGTCTTGGGGCATCTTGGAGCATCGTGGGAGCCATTCTGAGACATCTTGGGATATCTTGAGCCATCTTGGAGGTCTTCTTGGGCTCCCCCAGGCGCTCTTGGAGTCATCTTAATCAGTGCCCCCCCCCAAGAGGCCAACATGTGGCGAACACCTGGGTAAAATCAATGATTTGGCATTCTCGCCGAGGCCTCTTGCAGCATCTTGGGTGCCCCTGGGGGGTCCCTTGGGGCCTCTTGGAGGTCTCTTGGGAGCTTTTTGGGGGCATTCTGGGGGCCTCTTGGGCCTTCCTGGCCACCCTTGGAGCTTCTTGGGCATTCTGGGAGCTTCTTGGGGGCATTCTGGGGCACCCTTGGGAGCCTTGGGGGCCATCTTTGGGCCATCTAGGGCGAGATTGATCACAGGCGGGGGTGTCACGAATTAGGGTCACCCCCATCAGGAGGCCAAAATGGGGCCACAATTTTTGCAAAACCAGTGATTTCGGTTCCTCGCCGAGGCCGTTTTGGACGCTCCGACGACTCGCGGAACCCCTTTTGTCCAGGTCCAGGGGACGGAGTGGGGGAGGGGTCAAGACGCCTTCCCCGCCCGCAAGCCGTTTCGCTCACTCCCAAACGCCCTCCTAACACATACGTAGCGCCCGAGCCTGGCCCGAACCGCAGCATATGCAGCAGTCGTCTTTGGATGGCCAGCTACTGGGGGCCAATCCGCCGCCGCCGCCGCCGCCTCCGCCGCCGCCTCCGCCGCCGCCCCCGCTGCCAAATCGCCGCCGTCGCCGCCGCTGTTCGCCGCCGCCGCCGCCGCCGCTGTTCGCCGCTGCCGCCGCCGCCGCGTTGCCCGCCGCCGCCGCCGCCGCCGCCGCCCCCGCTGCCAAATCGCCGCCGCCGCAGCCGCTGCCGCTGCCGCCGCAGTCGCTGCCGCCACCAATGCCGCAGCCGCCGCCGCCGCCGCCGCCGGCCGCCGCCCGCCGCCCCCGCCCCCCGCCGCCGCCGCCGCCGCCCCGCCCCGCCGGCAGCCGCCGCAGCCGCCGGCACCGCCGCAAGCCGCCGCAGTGCCGCCGCCGCGCCAGTGTATACTAATAGGGAAACAGCGAGCAACCTCTCCCCGAAGAGGAATGAAGGAAGGGGTGGACGAAGGAAACGCCCTAAACCACCGACGCCCAGAGGGCTGGTGGGATTCCCCGAGGGCTTTGCCGCCGCCGCCCGCCGCCGCCCCCGTTGCCAAATCGCCGCCGTCGCCGCCGCTGTCGCTGTTCGCCGCTGCCGCCGCCGCCGCGCTGCCCGCCGCCGCCGCCGCCGCCGCCGCCGCCCCCCGCTGCCAAATCGCCGCCGCCGCAGCCGCTGCCGCCGCAGTCGCTGCGCGCCACCAATGCGCAGCCGCCCCGCCGCTGCCGCCGCCGCACCGCCGCGCCGCCGCGCCGCCCCCGCCGCCGCCGCCGCCCCCGCCGCCGCCGCCGCAGCCGCCGCAGCCGCGGCACCCGCCGCAGCCGCCGCAGCTGCCGCCGCCGCCGCCAAGTGTATTCTGTATTGTTTTTTGACAGGGATGGTGGGGGGAGGCCGCATCAGGGTCGCTGCGCAGCTCCGAATTTGGAGACAGAGTGTGTTTTGTATTACCAGGGATGGTGGGGACATAGTGTGTTTTGTATAGTTTTTAACAAGACATTGTGTGGGGGGGGCCTCATGGACCTGGGTTGGCTTCCAGTCGCCAGGGGGGGTGTATACTAATAGGGAACAGCGAGCAACCTCTCCCCGAAGAGGATGAAGAAGGGGTGGAAGAGGAAACGCCCTAAACCACCGACGCCCAGAGGGCTGGTGGGATTCCCCGAGGTTTTGCTGGTCCTATCCCTCCTTTTTTGGCCTTTCTTCTTCCCAAAAGACTGCCAGCGGCTCCAGTCCGTGACGTTCGCTGGTTTCTCTTGTTTGCTTCCTCTCGTCCATGACGTTCGCTAGTTTGCTTAGCCCGGTCACTTTAGATATATAGTCTGCGCTCTTCGGCGACTCGTGACGTTGCGGACGCTGCTCGCGTGGAATTTCACTTCGCCCTTCTTTTCCTGGCTCTGGCTCTCGATCAGCCGCCGCCGCCGCCTTCGCCGCCGCCTCCGCCGCCGCCCCCGTTGCCAAATCGCCGCCGTCGCCGCCGCTGTTCGCCGCCGCCGCCGCCGCCGCTGTTCGCCGCTGCCGCCGCCGCCGCGCTGCCCGCCGCCGCCGCCGCCGCCGCCGCCCCCGCTGCCAAATCGCCGCCGCCGCAGCCGCTGCCGCCGCAGTCGCTGCCGCCACCAATGCCGCATCCCCGGCCGCCGCTGCCGCCAGCCGCCGCCGTCCGCGCCGCCGCCCCCGTCCACCGCCGCCGCCCCCGCCGGCCGCCGCCGGCAGCCGGCAACTCCGCCCGCCGGCCGCTCGCCGCCGCCAAAGTGTATCCTGTATTGTTTTTTTGACAGGGATGGTGGGGGGATGGCCGCATCATGATCGCTGTCGCAGCTCCGAATTTGGAGACAGAGTGTGTTTTGTATTACCAGGGATGGTGGGGACATAGTGTGTTTTGTATAGTTTTTAACAAGACATTGTGTGGGGGGGCCTCATGGACCTGGGTTGGCTTCCAGTCGCCAGGGGGGGTGTATACTAATAGGGAACAGCGAGCAACCTCTCCCCGAAGAGGATGAAGAAGGGGTGGAAGAGGAAACGCCCTAAACCACCGACGCCCAGAGGGCTGGTGGGATTCCCCGAGGTTTTGCTGGTCCTATCCCTCCTTTTTTGGCCTTTCTTCTTCCCAAAAGACTGCCAGCGGCTCCAGTCCGTGACGTTCGCTGGTTTCTCTTGTTTGCTTCCTCTCGTCCATGACGTTCGCTAGTTTGCTTAGCCCGGTCACTTTAGATAGATAGTCTGCGCTCTTCGGCGACTCGTGACGTTGCGGACGCTGCTCGCGTGGAATTTCACTTCGCCCTTTTTTTCCTGGCTCTGGCTCTCGATCAGCCGCCGCCGACGGCAAGCAAGTACCCATACGAGCGATCGTCCCCGTCACCTCAATGCCCCACTTCCTGCCGCCCTGGCCCGACCTTGGTCCCCTGGCAGCGTCGCCCGCCTTTGCAACACCAAGCTAAAAAGGCTTGCCTGGCGCAGCCACGCAAACAGCGTCGAATCTCCTCGTGTGGTCGGACGCGCAGTCGTGGGGAAAACATTGCCACGGCCCCTGACCCCGCCTTTGCGTCGCTGCGCGACGGTTCAGACCAGAGCCCTCCCCGAAAGTCCTGGAGGTCCTGGAACCCCAGGCTGAGCCAATATTGTCGTCGTGATTCTCGAGACGCCCAGGGAGGAGGGTCCTCCTGGAGGCCGGACCCGCGCCCTGCTTTATGCTGTTCCCATCGTGCGCAAGTACCACATACCAGACATCATCTCGAGCACGCAGAAAAGTGTCGAGACAGTGTCGACCGAGTATGGCCCCCCAGGGCCCGACACGTGAAAGCCTGCCAGTTTTTTGGTACTGTCTGGGTGCTCGAGATCCTTTGTGGTGGTCGAGGCTAAAGTTGACGAACCAACAGCGCACACCCATACCCGTAGGGGCGGTCGGAGAGGGCTACGGGTGCGCGTTGTCGGAGAGCGTTCCCCAGGGCCCGACAACCCGCACCCATACCCATAGCTAGTCCTCCTCCCAACGACCCCCCTAAGGCCCTGACCTTCCAGAGTGCTAAAAAATAGCCCTCCAGACCTGAGACCGATCTGCACTGCCTAACACCTGGACCGGGAATAAGATGTCGAGGTCCTGGTGCTATCTTTAAGCCCTCCTGGAAGGTCAGGGGGTACAGTGCCGTTTTTTGTACATGCTCCGCGTGCGGATCATGTATTAAAAATGCAGGGATTCAGTATTAAAAACAACGATGAGTTCATGCATCAATTTATTCATAAACGAATCATATATTAAAAATCCAATCTTTCTAAACATCCGATGTATGATAAACTGCCCTGTATGGGTGTGTGTGTGTGTGTGTGCGTGTGTGTGTGTGTGTGTGTGTGTGTGTGTGTGTGGGTGTGTGCTGCTCGCTCGTCAAGAGTATAGGCTGGGCCTGCCCCCCCTCCCCCCGCCCAGCAGCCGGCACCGCCGGCGGCGCCCCCGCAGCGGGAGCCGGGCGTCCCCGAGTGGGCGGTGGAAGAGGCCGCCCGGCGAGACGGCGGCCTGGCGCTCGGAGGCGTGCGCCCGCGCCCCCATTCGATTCGGGAGGGGGAAAAAACACACAGACACAATTCATCGTCGATTCCCCCGAAAAGATGGGAGAATATGGGAAGTGGGGGGGAAGACCAAACATGCAGAAAATACGGGAATAGACGGGGAATCTGGTTAATCGTGTCTATTTATTTGTGTGTCCAGGGGCCCCTTCAATTCGGGAGCCTTGAGACGGGGGTGAAGGCAAACGGGGGTCAGCCAGAGCGCTCGATCTTGCGGGATCCTGCAAAGCCAGGGTCGCATCGACCCGGGTGTGGGTGTAGGATCCTGCAGGATCCTGCAGCATCCTTGGCACTGACCCGGGCTTGGGTGCAGGATCTTGCAGGATCTTGCAGGATCCTGCAAGGCTTGACTGACCCGGGTCTGGATTGACCCGGGTCAGAAGATCCCCGACCCATGAGGCGGAGGACGACCCAGACCCCCTCGCGTTGTGAACAAAGCACGGCGGGAGGTGTGTTTCGCTCTTTTCGGCCTCCGGGGTCCCCTGCCAGACCGTCCGAAAAATGGCTCGGGATGAGCACCTGGTCCTGCAGGAGGCTTTTCGCCATTTTCGGCCTCCGGGGGGCCCTTATACCGGACCGTCAAAAAACGATCTCGGGATGGGAATCGGGTCCCGGGGAATGGGTCCGGACCTCCCTGGGGGTTGCGCCATGGAAAGGTCGTGACGTCGGGGGTCTGGGGACGAGGAGAGTGCTGGAGGGAGGAGGGAGGAGGGAGAAGACTCGGGCGGGTGGTAATTCATGTCAGTCAGTGGCGAAACGTCCTGGCTCGCCTATAGCCCTACTAAACAATGTTCTGAGAACCTTTTGTGATTTCCACGAAATGTTCTTAGAAACATTTCTGATTTCTAAGAACATATCGTGGTAGGACTATAGGAATGCCGGGACGGTCGGCCCCTGCTCAACGATGGGGGGTGACCCAGATGAGGGTGAAAACGATGGCCCTTCTCGTCACCCCCTGTGTGGGTCACCCCCCATTCCCACCCGCCCGAGAGAGGGGAGGGAAGGGGACCTTGCATGTAGGACTTGCGGTTGGAACTCTGGCCCTTGGGCAGCGCTCGCACCCTGGCGTGGACGAGCAAGCGCCCCGATGGGCCTACGTCGATGATCCTCAGGACGCGTGTTAGCCCAATATGTGTTTACACACTTCAGCCCAACCAGTAGATCATGACATCGCCTGCGTCGTATCAAAGGTCCGTTGGGGCTAACACACGTTCTGAGGATCATCGACTACGGTAGCCACGCCAGTGGTGCCGGATGGAGGGGGGAGGAGGGAGAAGTGGGGAGGGAGGGGGTGGTCGCAGCAGGACGCATTTGTGAGGCTTCCAGCAGTTTCCCGAGGTTTCCGCTTTGCGGGGGATCGCAGGGACCTCCTGGTCCGCATCCGTCCTTGTCCCTCCTCCCTCGTGCTGCTCCTCGTCCTCCTCATCGTCCTCCTCCTCCTACTCCTTCTCCTCCTGCTCATCCTGCTCGTCCTTATTCTCCAACTTCCCCTTTGTCTACGTACGGCAGAAACCATAACGCACCACCCATAGGACACCAGGGCGGCAGCCAGACATCGCAACGTGCGGGATCAACCACCACCCCTCTAATGGGGCATCAGGGCCATAGCCAGCATTCCCAACAAACAGGGCCATCATAGGGCACCAGCTACGAGGCACCCATCATAGGAACCAGACATCCCAAGAAGCTGGGCTTCAAGAAGGCACCACCCATAGGCCTCCCTCGGACCCCCCGGATAGGGCACCAGGGCAATTTGCGGAAATCCAACCCCCAAGCACATCACCGAACGTAGGTGAGAGACGCAGGGAAAAGACGGAATCGGCCTCGCCCACTCGGCTGCTGACGCGAACCCCTCGAGATGGAGTAGAATCGAACCGGCCCCGTCCGCGGTACAGATCGCTCCGTGAATGGGAGGGCCTTTCCAAGAGTGCGACGGGCCTCCTCATCTTACCTTCTCGTTGCTCGTGCTCCTCTTGCGGCTCATGCCTGATCCTCCTCATCGCCAGCCTTCCCCCGGTGGCTCCCTTCATGTCGCGCGCACCCTCGCCACCTACGCTACACTGAAAAGCGCACACGTCATGTGGACAACATTTTTTGGTCGGCGAAGCGAGAGCGAACCTCTTCCGCTAAAAGCTAGGCGGGCTACGCACAGCTCTAATTGGGGAGACAGGGCACAGGCGGGCGGGGCCTCAGGCGGCCGGAGAGGGCGGGGCCCAGGGTGCAGGCGGTGCCGAGGAGCTTGCACAGGAAAAGGTACGCCGATTCACGCGGACCACACGCGCTCTCGCATGGAGCCCGTGGCGGCAGCCTCTGCCCGTGCCGATCGCGCTGGGCGGGCCCAGCGGGCTGCTTCGCGACGTGCAGTACAGTCTCCCGGAGCGGCGCGTGCGCACGAGCGGTGGCTCGACACAGCCGGCACAGTGCCCAGCAGGGCTGTGCACGCATCGGTTGGCACGCAGGGCAGGTCGTGCGGGCAGGTCGTGAATGACACCAGCGCCGCACAACCGAAGCATCGTGCATACAGCTCGTGCACAAGAGAGGGCCACTTGTGGCACCACTGTGCGGCATGGCGTTCTCACTTGCAGTAAGCACGTCTGTATATCTATATATATATATATGTATACACATAGCTTTCCTCGCAGTGCCTTCAAGCGCGCGCACGACACACCGAAGCAGCTGGGGGGTGATGTGGTGCCATCTGCGTGCAGTCAGGTGATGTATCTCATGGATATGCTGGTCTTTCCTTCCCGCAAGAGGCAGACTTCTCGAGCGATGCGTCCAGCCAGCGAGAAGACAGTGCAACTCGTGAGTGGCTGGCCCAACGGTATACTTCAGGACATGTCGAGGCGCCGCACGGCGCCCACGATCTTAATTGAGCAGACATGAGGATCAAGTGGCCGGCAAGTTAGCTGGAGGACGTGGGTCTATGGCCCCGACACCCTTGAGGCCTCTACTTCTCAGCTGGAAGATGGGCACGGTCATAGTTTTTTTTTAGATCCGCCATCACGCTTGGGGGCTAATCCCGAATCGTGCATCTACCACATATGCGTACCGAGAGTTGCTGATGCAGGGTGTGGAAAGTGTCGAGTGTTGTGTTCAGCTGGTCGCGCTCTATCGTTGCATAACACACATCGAGGTCAATACTGCAGGCCCATGCAAATACTGGCTTGTACTCATTTCAGTCAGCGCCCGCTTCCCGCACGAGCTGTCCGACAAGTGATTGGATCTTTATTCTGTTGCGTGCAATAGGGTTCCAACAGTCAAGGCTTACCTGATGAGATGGGACGAATGCGTAAACATACGCATGAACTTGGTAATGAGATAGAAGCACAGGGAGACCTTGGCACAATTATTCAATAATTTGTTGACATTGTGAACACGGCGCTGGCGAATGTATTCGGCAAGAGCGTGTTGCACACCGAGACGAGAGCAGCACATGGCGAACAGCCCAAGCAGCATCTGTCCAGCGATGTCTGAAACACAATAGCGCTTCCAAATAATTTCGGCCAGGACCAAGAAGGGCAGCAAACAACTCAAGCGGAGCGCACACGAGCATGGGGTCGAACTGACGCAGAGACAACCCTCCGAGGTTGATGAGGCGGCCAAGCTGAATTACAATTACCTTGTTCAGAGGATTGCTGGCCTCATCGATGGTAAGGGGCGTGGCCGAAGGCAGTATAAATATGCAGCTATTCCGGCTTAGGAGTGACTTCTGTGGCTTCGGCTTATGGGTGGAGTCTACGAATGGCGCCCCGTGTTTGTCTATGTGGATGCTCTGCCACGCAGGCCGATCCTGCAGACACCGGGCTGGAAGTGCAACATAATCTCCGATGGCAGCGAGACAGCGATGATGCGATGGATCTTGCTTCAGAAGGCTTGGGAATTCTGTCGAGGTATGCCTGGGTGGTGGAAGTACGGTGGTGCTATCACAGTTGGATTATTCGGGCAGAAACTCCCACATTCTTGTTCACGTATAAATGGTGTGACCCCAGACGACCTGCACCTACGACTGGAATCGGGTATTGTCCGGATGAAATCCAATCACCCAGTGTAGCACAAGGATTGATCCGAGTATCACATCTTTGTTCATGGCGAGAAAATATGATCGCGCACCTGGAAAGGAACTATGAGATCGACGTGGCAGGGGGGTGCATCATCATGATCATGTGCTTGGTTGGGGGGACATTCCGTTCGGCGGCGTTACGCAGAGAGAAAGCAGCTTGGACATCCGATGATTGGCTGCTTGGAGGACTTCGGCGCCGACGGCGAGGATCTGCTATTCCGCGCGCAGTAGACGTCATCTTTCCGGTTGCAGGCTGCTGGCGTCGCGCGCGCCGCGCGGCGCCGCGCGCGCCGCGCGGCGCCGTGATGTTACGAAAACATTTGTCAATATCAAGCGCCGCGCGCGGCCGTGCTCCAGACGCCCGCCGTCCGAAATCTTCCTGGCACGTATTGGTCGAGCCACTCGGAAGGAGAGTTCCAGGGGGCGCCGGGGCTACAGCCATCTTCGCTCGCACCGTCGCCCCCCCCCCCCCGCCGCCCGCAATATCGCCGACGCATGCTGGCCGGAAAGGTGGCATCGTACAGTCGAGGAAAACCCCGTGGGGCGCGGATGGCCCCCAACAGATGGCCATCGCCGGCTTCGCGGGAGGCTCGGCCAACCAAATTTTTGAGAACAGCTCATGTGGAGGCAGTGCCTTCGACCAGCTGAACATAGGAAGCAAACTGGGCACCTACGGAGAAGGCCTTGACATGAGCATCGCAGGAGCATTGCACTATCAGCAGTGAGGGGCGTGCGGCATGTATTCGAGGAGCTGGTCACACGCGCGGCAAATTGGCTACGACACAGAAGACGCACATCGATAGATGCACGACATTGAAGCGACCGCCAGTCCAGCGCTGTCGCGCCAACTCCTAAGCTAGCCGAGTGCAAGAGGTCCGTGCATTGGAGGCGCGAGCGGCAATGTCAGCATCGGTCGAGTCCTTGCCGCCACTGACAGTTCCCCTCTAGGCAGCAGCACGCATCGAGACGCGCCTCGCAGAACATCTTGTAGCAGATATCTATCGTCGACAATATTTCGCAGCAGACAGGGGGCGCTCCGGAACAATTTATCACGCCGAGCTCGATGCCATGCCCAATATGCGCCGAAAAACCTAAACGACGCAAGCCCCTGGCCCAGTCATGCTCGGGGGCACTTCAGTCCGCCACTGCAGCCAGATTTGTGTATGCGCGAAGCTCGTGGCATAATCGTTACTGACTCACGCGGTGCGCGCCAGCCGGTCGACTGGTTGCGGGAACATTTTACGCGCATGATTTGGCAACCGCAGAGTTGAGCGGGCCCAACCACATGGAAGAGGAGACGGGCAAGGAAGCAGAAGGATCTGGCAAAACTCACAGATGGTCCGTACGAGACAGGTCTCACATCTCCGTGGCGGCGGCAGGGCGTCGCAACGTGCCGGGGACAGCATGGACGTCGGGGGGGACGTGGAAGTGGAGGACGAGGAGCTGGTCGGAGTTGGAGAGCATTCGCGATGCAGCTAGTAGCCAGAGTTCGCCCCCCTGGGCACGAGACGGCAAGCGCCCCCCCCCCATCCTCGACCGCGAGCGGCAGACCGCCGCGGGCTGCAGCAGGTCGTTCCGCGACTTCGCGAAGGAGAGTTAAGAGCAGACCCTCATATCTTATTGCCGCCGCCGTCCATCGTCCCCCTTAACTGGCAGCCTCTCCTCAAACGTTTCCGCTGTGCGCCTCATGACTTGGCAAGACAGAAAAGTAAGAGCAGGCCCGGCAGCCGGTATTTTGGATCGCCGGCCCCCAGAAACAGCTTTTGCAGCGCTCTGCCCGTCGTGGAGTGTTGGCTTTGCGCGGGCACCGCGGCGCGGAGGTGCCCGGCCCGCGACGTAATATGAATACATATATATATATACACATACATATATATATATATATATATATATATATGTTTATAGAACAACAGTATTTAAACGAAGAAGGAAAAGAAAAAGGAAACTAACACAACAGGCTGTTGCCTGGGTTCCTCGGGCAGGCACTGGCGCAAAACGACGCGGCGCACCGACGGGAGCTCCCCGAGACGACCCAGAAGCTCAGGGGAGGGGAAGGTACCCATACCGCCACCCTTCCCGCGGCATTTTCTCCATATTGGGCCTCCTAGGAGGCCAAAGCCCATCGTCGCCACCGCTGGATTCGCCATGAAATCTCAGTCAGAACGCACCCAAGGAGAGGCCCGGGGAGTAGCGGTGTCGGTACCTTTGGGTTTCCCCATAAGCAGGATCTCCCCCATCCACGCGCAGAGCCCGCCAGAAATGCCCACTCCAATGCTGCAGGCATGGGGCGTGCCCATGGAGGTCGAGGCCGCAGCGGGATGGGGGCAGGTCAGGCACGGCGGAGGGGCGCCCTCGATGTGTAGGGCCCCGCGCGGGAATCTTGCCGGGGCGTTGGTGCCGCAGGGGAAGTGAGACGACGTGAGGGTTCACAGCAGCTCCTGAACAGTGTCCCTCGGCATGCGTTTCCCCCCAACAAAAATAGGCCCCGTCCGAGTGCGAGTCCTGAGACGATGCGAGGGCCAGGGCTTGTAGAGGATTCAGCGGGGCACGTGCTGAACGAAAGTTTCGTGGACTGGCTCCCCCGCCCGCCCTAGCGCGGCTTCGTCGGGCTGTCGGCCGGGCCGCCGTGCAGCGGCCTCGCTAACGCACAGCCACTTGCCGTTCCTTTTGAGTGCGCGGTGCTCCGGACGGAGCGGCGAAGTGTAAAGGACGAAAAGGCAGATCCGCTCTTTGCCCCCCCCCCCCCCCCGAGGTTCGCGAACACGCGCAGACATTAGTAGGATGGACTGACAGGGCGAGAGCGAACGAGCGATCATCCATTCTCCCGATGCGGTCCTCCTTTCCGTCCTCACTCGCTTCGTCCTGCCCCTCCGTAGGAGCCGCATCCTCGTGGGGCGTCGCCCCTCTCCATCGGACTCCTCTATCTCGTTCCCCTCCTGTCCTGCCCTCTCGTCAAGATGATGCATGTTTCAGAGACTGTGCGACCGATTGTTGTTACGTTGTGTAAGTTTGACTCTGCAAGCCTGCTTCGCAGCTGGAGTCGCCTGCTCCTACTTGGCCGTCTTGTTCATTCCCCCCTCTTCTGTTACCCCTCGTCCTCCTCACCCCTTCGTTTTCCGTCCTCCCTCGTCCTCCTCACTCTCCGTCCCTCCTGCTACGCTTTTTCGTCATCAGCCGCCTCGTCCTCCTCCCCCTCCTCGTCCCCCTCCTCCATCGTCTTTCCCTTTAGAACTCTCAGCGTGTCGGTAGGGCTGGCCAGGCGTTTCGCTTCAGACGTTTTCAGCATTCTGATCCTGGTGCTTGGAATTGTTCAACGGGTTCAAGGATGGAGGGCGGGCGGTTTTCAAAATGTGGCTCTCGCTTCAGCGCCGCGGGCATTCGTTAAACACATTGCACCAGTTGGTTGGGTGGAAGGCGGGCCGTTGTCAAAATGTGGTTCTAGCTTCAGCGCGGCGCATATTCCTGTTAAGAGTTTGCGCCAATGTCAGGATTGCGGGCGGCTCTTTTTCGGCATGTGGCTCTATTTTGTGGCGCCGCGAACGCTCGTTTCGAAAGTAATTGCGGCAGTTTTGAGGATTCGTATGGCTGTAGTCCCAGAGACCTCCGCGAAACTTCACGCAAGTTTTGCCGACCCCCCGTCGCCCCCAATTGCGACGTTCAGTTGCGCGTTCGACGCGGTCCGCGGACGCCGACGGACAATTTTGAGTCACGCGCTTGGGCATCACCGTTGAAATTTGGGGGCTTGGGGGCGCCGACGCGGCGCGGGGAAAACTTGCGTTAAGTTTCGCGGAGGGTTGCAGGAATAATGTTTTGGTACGGCTATGGACTGTCGGAACGCGACAGCCACGATGATCCGTGGTGTTCAAATCCCAGGACTGGTGCTCTATCACGTTTTGGGACTGCCGGGACGCAATAGTCCCGCGCAGGTTTCGCGGCACTGCGGGCCCAGGAACGGTGTTCTAGCACGGTTTCAGGATTCTCGGATACTTGTTTTCCAGTTGGGGTACTTCCCGCAGCGAAGCTCATTACACTAATAACCTGCAAGGAAGGAATTTGGAGGGAGGGTTGTTATTGCAACGTCGTTGATGCGTCTTAGTTTTGCACCGGTCCTCTTCCTCCACCTCGTCCTCCTCCTCCCTTCTCCCCCTCTTCCCCCTCCCTCTTCACTCCTCCTCCTCCTCCTCCTCCCCCCTTCCCTCTCCCCTCTTCACCTTGCCTTCTCACGCCCGCCTCCCCCCACCACGCGAACCCGCGCCGCGTCTGGAGGCAGCGCAAAGAGCGCCATGGGCACCGGCGCCAAGAGCGCCGCCCTGGGCGCGGGCGCGAAGAGCGCCATGGGCGCCGGCTTGCCGTCGTCGTCGTCGTCGTCGTCGTCGTCGTCGTCGTCGTCGTCGTCGTCGTCGTCGTCTTCGTCCACGTCGTCGTCGTTTCCGTCGTGGTCGTCGTCGACCTCCTCCTCCTCCCTTTTCCTCCTCCTCTTTCTCCTCCTCCTCCTCCTCTTTCTGCTCTTGTTCCTCCTCCTCCCCCTCCTCCTTCATGTCCTCCTCTGCCTCCTCCTCGTTCTTCCTCCTCCCTCACCGATCAGCCGCCAGCACGCGATATTGCTGCCGAAACGCGAGGATTCGGTAGGGCCGTCGGGATCCCGGCCCGTCACTCTGGCATCGAGTGTCATCTTCACAGTGTTGAATCTGTTTTTCTGTGAACGCCAGTCTGTATCTATGAACTCCGCGATGTTCGAGAGAGCGTGATCCACTGCCGGTTTACTGTGGAAAATTGCCGCACTTTTCCTCCGGAACCCGGGGGTCCCCCCCCCCCTCCGAAAATCCCCCCCCCCCCCCTGAACCCCTCCCCCCCCCCCCGGCCTCCCCGGCAAAACCCCCCCCGTCAAAACCTCCCCCCCCCCTCCCCCTCGAAAACGGTGGGGGTCACATACCGGTTCGAACCCCCCCCCACCCTCGAAAACCGGAGGGGGGGTCACTACCGGTTCGAACCCCTCCCCCCCCCCCCCCCCCACTCCCCGCCAGCAAACGACTCCCGGTCCCTACCACCGTCCCGCACCACATCCCCCATTGTTGTTCCAGCACCACTGTCCTCACCACCACTGTCCCCACTGGCTCCACCACCGTCCCTACTCCCCCACCAGTGCCCCCCACCACTGTCGCACTGTCCCCACTGTCCCCACCACTGTTCCCACCAGGGTTTCACTCTCCCCACTCTCTCCACGGCCCCAACCACTGCCCGACTATCCCCACTGTCCCCACCCCACTGTCCCACTGACTCCTCCGCTGTTTCACTAAGCTGTCCCACTGTTCCCACCACTGTTCCCGCTGTCCGCACCACTGTCCCCACTGTACCTCTGTCCCATTGTCCCACCGCCGTCCTCGCCACCGCCTTCACCACTGTCCCCACCACTGTACCCTCCACTGTCCCACTGTTTCCACCTCATTCCCACTGTCCCCACACCACTGTCCCCACCACCACCACCGTCCCCACCACTGTCCACTGTCCCTACTGTTCCCACCATTGTCCTCACCACCGTCCCCACCACTACCGTCCCCACCACTGTCCCACTGTCCCCACCACTGTCCCGCTGTCCCCTCACCACTGTCCCCATCACCACCGTCCCCACCACTGTCCGCACCCCCTCCACGGTTTTCGAGGGGGGGGGGGGGGTTCGAACCGGTAGTGACCCCCCCCCGGTTTTCGAGGGGGAGGGGGGTTTGAACCGGTAGTGACCCCCCCCCTTTTCACGATGAACGGGTGGGGGGGGGAGGGGTTCGAACCGGTAGTGACCCCCCCGGTTTTCCGGAGAGGGGGGGGGGTTCGAACCGGTAGTGATCCCCCCCGGTTTTCCGCCAGCAGCGGTGGAACACGCTCTTTCCGATGTTCAGTAACACCTTTTCTGGACGTCCACGCTGCTGTCATCTTTATGTGGTCCATTCCTCGCTGAAGTCGCGTATACTACCTTCTAGGGTCATGGGCAACACGTTTGCACGGTGCCCTTGAGAACGGAGTGGTCACCCCCGGGATCCGGTTTGTTGATGCAGTCACCTCAGAAGCTTCAGGTGGCGTTGACCTCAAGTTGTTTGACGTGTAGCCACGCGACGTGGTGAAGCTCGTCGGCACCTCCACCTTTCTCGTCTCTCCTCCTCAGTTCTTGCGTCCTCCTGCCTTCCCACCTTTCATACCTAGCGCGCCAGAACGAGAAGGGCATCTTCTGGTTTTACCATTTGACTTTTCAGACGATCGCGGGCACAGCTTTGGTGCCTGTTCATCTGCTCTGGTCGTCCATATGATGGATCAAAGCCGTGCTCCTAACTCGAACCGAGATCAACATTACCTATACGACCACCCATCGGGTGATAGGGAGGTTTGAGGGGGGGGGGAGAGAACAAAAAGGTGGCAAATGCGATGGTTGTGATGAGGACGATGCTTGTGGCGCGCCCCCGGGTTAGCGACGACGCGTGATGACGATGTTGCGCTGCGATGTAATGTCACCGTCGTCCCCGCTTTCGATTTCACTCGATCGATCCTACTATCGACTTCACGGTCACTCTTAGCACCAATGGGTTCGGAGATCGATCCCCTTGTGCTCGCCACAGGGGACATCGCATGTCCCCGTGAGATCTGTGAAACCCTTAGGACGTCGCCTCCCTGCGCATCCGACAGCACGATCACAACCACTGTCACAATCGACCTCACTGTCTATCTTATGTTTGATTTCGCTATCAATCCCATTCTAGCGATCTCATTATCGATCTCTCGATCGACTTCACTATCGATGACAAGGCGGGATGCCTCTGGCCACAGCCCGCCCACCGCCGACGGAGCACCGACGGGATACCAGCGGGACACCAACGGGACACCACAGGACACCACCGCGGGACACCCCGGGCCACCGCGCGCCCACTGGGGGCGGAGGGGCGGTCCACTGCATCCAAGACACCCAAGCGATGGCGGGGTCATCCCTGTCGCGCGCCCACGCAGCTTCCCCGCGCCCGCACGCACGACACGAACACGAGCACGAAAACGATAACCGATGTCTTGGTGGGGGGCTCTCCGTTCCACTGCGATCTCACCCCCCAACCTCCGATCATCCCCCTGCTCATCCTCCTCTTCCGCCTCCCTCTCCTCCCTCATCCTCCCCCTCGTCATCTCCTCTCCCTCCTCGTCCTCCTACGGCGCCCTACTCCAGCTCCATCCTTATCCTCCTCCACCTCCTCTGCGTCCTCTCACCCCCTCTTCTCATTCCTTCCCCCCTTCTCCCTACTCCTCAAACTCCCCCCCCTCCGACTCCCTCGTCCTCGGCGTCGTCGTCGTCCTCCTCCTCCTCCTCCTCCTTCGCCTGTTCCCTCCCCTCGCCCCCCTTCCGAGGCGCTGGCGCGAAGAGCGCCATGGGCGGCGGCGCGGCGAGCCTCGCGGGGCCGCTGGCTCCCAAGCTGGTGCCCGCGGGAGCATGTGTGAGGAGGGAGGAGGTTTCGACCCCAGATGCCCTCCAGACCCCCTCGCGTTACGAACAAAAATCACGAAGGGAGGTTCGTCGCTATTTTCGGCCTCTGGCAGGGCTCGTTCCGATGCCTCCGATTCGATTCGCTTCGATTTCGATTGTTCCCGGTTCCGATTCTATTCGACTTGGGATTCCGACTTGGGTTCCGATTCCTTCTTGGAGGCATACTATTTAGCCTGCCGATTTCTGCCGATTCGACTTTTCCCGACTCGGCTGCCGATTTCCGCCGACCTCATTCATTTCGATCGCCGATCCGACTAATCGATTCGATTCTGGGCTCTCCTGCTCTGAGGGCCCCACCAGCCCTCGGGACCGTCAAGAAACGACTCAGGATGGAAAACCGGTCCCGGGGAATGGGTCCAGACCTTTGGAGTCGTGTTATGAAAAAATCATGACGTCGGGGGTCTGGGCCATGAGCCGCGCTCCCCGCTCCCGACAGGGACACCCCCCTGAAAGATCGCGGGTCATGTCTCTGCGTCGTCTGGGCGTGGTGACACGGAACGTGTGCCCCCAAGAAATGACAAACCAGTCTTTGGTTCACGGCTTCCAGTGCGGACCACGAAGAGATAGTTGCGACCTGGCCCCGCCAGGTCGGGGGGGTGGACGAGGAGGAGGAGGAGGAGGAGGAGGAGGAGGAGGAGGAGGAGGAGGGAGG